CTCCAAGTTCTTTGCATTTCAGTAGGAGTTTTGTAATTCTCCTACCAGCCCTCCAGAGAACGCTGCTGGGCTCTGGTTGGCCTCACATTGAGTCTACAGACCTGCTGATGGACAACCGACTTCTCACACTGTGAGATTTCTGCTCCCGGCCTCTGTGTCTGCAGGTTCTGTGTTCACAGATCCAACCGATTGCACCTTGAAAATATCCAGAAGAGATTTGTGCAAAGTTGCCACTGCACCAAAGTGTGCAGACTTTTTCCTTTGCATCGTCCACCAAACAATGCCGGGTAGCAGCTACTTAGCATTCCCATTGCACTGGGTGCTACAAGCGATCTAAAGGTGATTTAATGTGTACTAAGGGACATGCGCAGGTTATGGGCGAGTGCCAGGCCCTCTTGTGTACTTGCCTGCTGTTCTGATATCTCTGTGTGTGTGGGTGCTGGGCTGGGTGCTGGGCGGGGGGTCCTGGAACCGATCGCCGAACCGTGAGGAAGAACTGTGTCTCTATTTGTTGAGGGCGTCCTTATTTCACTCAGCAAATATTTTCTACTTTTCCATGCACAGATCTCGAACATGCTTGTTAGATTTATTTGTGTGCATTTCATACTTAGAAATTCTTAAAAGTGGGATTATTTTATTCATCTCTGCCCTCAAGTTTTCATTGCTAGGATGCATGTTCAATTTATTTTTTATGTTGGCCGTGTATTCTGCGGTCTTGGTTGGTAGAATTAGGGATATTTTCTAAATACCAGACTATTTTATGCTGTTGGATGAAGATTTTTCACTTTTTGTCTCGCTCGGCCTTTTAATAAAGATTGCTCTAGGTTGCAGGTTTCAGGTGCTGCTAGGAAGAGAAGGCTGCATTGTGTCCCTTTCTGGACACAGAAAGAGTGGGAGTGGTCAGCCTGTAGCAGGCTTCCACGCTTGATCACTGGGCTCAGAGCACCGAGTTTCAGAGGAACCAGGGGGTTCCCCTGGCTTCATTTGCTCCACACTGGGGTTGCACGGTGGGGCTGGACCGGCAAGGCCAGAGCAGAACAGTAGCAACAGCCAGGTGCTTCCCACGGCCCTGCCAAGGCACGGCGCCGTCCCACCCGCTGAGCCCAGGCTCTGACCTCTGGGAACCGCGTTTCTGCATCCTGCGAGGTTGCAGCCGACCGAAGGGGCCTGTGCAGGCAGAGAATGGCATGAGCTGAACAGAGCAAGGACTGTGCAAGCCCCGATCTGCACGGAGCACTCTGACATCAAGAGAGAAGGGATTATGGGGTCAAACCTTGTCAGCGTGTGCCACAGCACTGGACTGGAGAGAGAAGGGTATGGATGGGTGTCCCAGTCACGGGTGCTCGGTGTTGGTGGCAGAGCAGGAATCCCCTGGGGGAGTGGGATAACAAGGCAGGATGCGAAAGGCAGCGTAAGGACTTCTGTACCTGATCACTACGTCCTGGTTTTGAAGTCTCTCTCTGGATAGCCGGTAAGGCAGCGATAGATAACCCCCAACTCAGCTTTTCTCCTGTCAGCTACAGTGTTCTCTGTGTGCATGCAGGAATCCTCCCCAGACTGGCACCGTGTCTGCCTACAGAGCTGCCAAAGAGAGCTCTGGGCCCCCCGGTGCCCTCTCGCTGCCCACCTGAGCCCACTGGAGTGCCCAGGAGCGGTGCACACCTCTGCAGGACTCTCAGGGTACAGCGCCGGCCTCACTCGCACGAGAGAGACCGCACACCCGCAGGAATCGCCGTCAGATTCCCTTTAACTGCTGCTCAAGTACCAGCTGGAGCTGGGTCTCCAGTAACGGGGTCATCGCCTTTCAAAGGCTGACACTAAATGAAGAGCTGAACTGACTGTCCGTGTGTGTTCTGCAGGCGGCAGGCCACAGTTTGGCTCAGACTCGGTGCTGGGGACAAGAGGGGTTTGGGAGGGGACAGGGCTTTGAGGGGAGCCATGACAAGCACAGACACGGAGGGTGCAGCTATGATGTCAGCGTTGGCAAGGTGTCTAAGTGACGCTGGGGTAGCCGTGGCGGTCGCCGTGTGCCTGTGGAGTGTGTAGAAGGCAGGGGCCAGGCCTGTGTGTGCTGGGCTCCAGGATGGGGAATGTATCTGGCTGGCCACGGTGACAGCCAGCCCTTACTGAGGACATGTCCAGCACTGTTTGAGACACATAGCCACGGCTTTCAGCGCCCAGAGGACCAGGGCGCTTGTGTGTCCAGGGTTGGACGGGGCTCCCCACGCCTTCCCATGGAGCTGACATCCGCCCGTGTCCTGAAACAGAGCAGCAGCAAGATGCCCATCGCGGAACCAGAACACGCCTCGTGAAAGACCGGCGGGAAAGCTCTCTGCATTTCTTACTCCTTCAAGAGAAGCAAGCAAGCGAACAAGTGGAACAAAGCCCTTCCCTCTCCTGCCTCGGCCAGGCCGCCTGTGCATTGAGCTCCAGGCCGCCAGCAGGTGCCTGGGGTGCGTGCTCTCTTGGGACGCGTTCCCGCGGCTGCCGGGGCCACTTTCACCTCCTCTGTTGCTCAGCTGCTGTCCATCAGGGCTCACAGCTCACTGGGCTTGAAGGTGGAAGAGATCTAGGTTTTTTTGGCCGTTTTTAGGGAGTTTGGGTTTCCCAGTGGGTTGACCACGGGAGCTGTGAAGGTTAACAGTGCTTGTGACCTCTGGGATGAAGCCTTAGCTGGTAACTTCAGGGACAAACCTTCCAGATGCCATGGCCAGTGGCTGCACCACTCCTGAGGTCCACTCAGCCTGGTGCTGTGCTGTGACCCCGGGATTGGTCTTGGCCCCCCATTGTCCCACCATCTCCCAGGTTAGTGCACCCCACTGCAGCTGTCTTCCGCTGGACTCTCTCAGCTACAGGGGTGCTGTTTGTGATGTCACAGAGGCCCCTCACACGTGCAGCCAGGGCCTGGCGGGACAGACTGCCTGGCTGGACCACAGGTTCCACTGTGGCTCCCTCCCAAGGCTGAACCCCACACAGGAGGCCACACCTGCGACATCCAGTATAGACCAAAGCTACGCTCTCATCACACCACTCAGGGGACTGCTGCCTTGAAAGTATGCAAAGCGCCAGAAATGGTTTAGATTTCTGAAACAAATACAGATACCTGACTGTGTGAACCATCGCGTCATCCACGCGGTTCATCTGCGTGTTTGCAGAAGTGCAGCCCCAGCTGTGAGCTTCCAAAGCTGTCCCGAGCACGCGCTCCCGCGATGTCGCAGCCCCTCCCTGAGCTCTGAGGCTGCGTCAGGGGCGCTCGGGCGTGGCCTGGCTGCGGGCGGTGGCACTCTCTGCTGCTCCGCCCTGCAAGCAGGTCCTGGGTCTACAGCAGGTCTCGTCCCCAGAGCAGGCGTTGGGCAAACAGCACTGCGTGGGCGCCTGGGGGCCGGCAGGGTGGGCAGCGGCTGCTGGGAGGAGGATGCTCAGTGCCCAGCAAGGGTGCACTGCTAGGTGATGCAGCCCTGATGTGTGAGTGTGAGTGAGTGTCTGTGTGAGTGTGTGAGTGTCTGTGTGAGTGTGTGTGAGTGCATGTGTGAGTGTGTGAGTGTATGTGTGTGTGAGTGCGTGTGTGTGAGTGTGTGAGTGTAGTGTCAGTGTGTGAGTGCGCATCCTGTGTATGTGTGTGTATATGTGTGACTGTGTGTATGTGTGTATATGTATGCTCCTGTGTGTGACTGTGTGTATGTATGTGTGTATATGTGTGTGTGAGTGTGTGAGCATGTATATGTGTGAATGTATGTGTATGTGTGTGAGTATATGTGTTTAAGTGCGAGTGTATGTGACTGTGAGTGTGTGAATGTGTGTATATGTGTGTATGTGTGTGTGACTGTGTATGTATGTGTGTGCCTGCGTGTGAACATGTATATGTGCAAATGCATGTATGTGTGTATATGTGTGTGAGGGTGTGTGTGACTGTGATTGTATGTGTGTATGTGTTTATGTGTGTGTGACTGTGGGTGTGTGTATGTGTGTGTTTATGTGTGTGTGACTATGGGTGTGTATGTGTGTGTTTGTGTGTGTGTGACTGAGAGTATGTGTGTGTGAGACTGAGTGTATGTGTGTGTAAACGCATTTATGTGTGTGCAACTGTGGGTGTGTGTATGTGTGTGTGACTATGAGTGTATGTGTGTGTATATGCATTTACGTGTGACTGTGATTGTGTGAATGTGTGTATATGTGAGTGTATATGTATGAATGCTTGTATGTGTGTGTATATGTGTCGTGTGTGAGCGTGTGTATGACTGTGAATGTACATGTGTATGTGTTTATGTGTGTGTGACTGTGGGTGTGTATATGTGTGACTGTGAGTGTATGTGTGTGAATGTGTGTATATGTGTGTGTATGTGTTTATGTGTGTGTGAGACTGAGTGTATGTGTGAGTATATGCATTTATGTGTGTGTGACTGTGGGTGTGTGATTGTGTGAATGTGTGTATATGTGTAAGTGTGCATGTGAGTGTGAGAGGGAGAGGCCCACAGGGAGTGACTTGCAGATAAGGAGTCTGGCTGGGTGCGGTGTGGGTACCCTCAGTGCACAGGCGGTGCAGTCTGGACCAGCTGTTGAACAGGTCGCTTCTCCGTGGGAAGCTGCTCCTGACTCCTCCAGGAAGAGAGCTGCCCGAGCCCAGGACCCAGCCGTGTCCGGGCCCTCTGTGCGGTAATCTATGGGGTCTGCCAGGACTGCGCGTGGCTCTCAAAGCCGTGGGCTTCCACTTAGTCACCACCCACAGGACCGTCATGGAGATTAGTTAATAGACGTGGAAAATCAGCAGCACGTCTGGGATGCTTTCATAATCACTGAGCCACTTTCAAAAAGGCAGTAAGTTTTTAAAAAATATTTATTTATTGTGAAGGCAGTTACAGAGAGCGAAAGACAGAGAGGAAGAGACAGAGAGAGATCTTCCATCTGCTGGTTCACTCCCCAAAGCCAGGAGCCAGGAGCTTCATCCGGGTCTCCCACGTGGGTGCAGGGGCCCAAGCACTTGGACCATCTTCTGCTGCTTTCCCAGGCCACAGCAGGGAGCTGGAACAGAAATGGAGCAGCCGGGACTCAAACAGGTGCTCCTATTTGATGCTGGCACTGCAGACGGCCACTTTACCGGCCACACCGCAGCCCCAGGCCCCAAGGCAATAAGTGCTAATCACAGTGTAAAAGTGCTGCAGCCCACTTTGGAACGGGACCTGAATCTACACTCAGGCTGTGCGTCAGCCTGGCCGTGATCCCAGTGAGTGTTGATCCTTGCCCGTCTCGCCAGCACCACTGGCCGCCTCCCATCTCTTCCCCCATCCACCCCCTTGTGTCTGATTCACTGTCAGCTTCTTTGGTTTCCAGCACAACCCCACCGTGTGCCTCTGGGCCTCGCACAACCCCAAGTGCAGGTGAGTCCGTGACAGCCCCTGCCATCCGAGCACCTGGCACTGCAGCGGTCCCCTCCTCGCCCTTCCAGTTTTGCCGAAATTCCTTTTCAGCTATGTCGTTTCAAAGCTCCGCACTCATCAGTGCCCCTGCACCGGTACTGCGCCGTTGGCCTCCAGCCAGATCGATTTTCCTCCATGGCTTCCTTGCAATCAGGTTTGCCAAACGTCTTCCTATCAAGAAAACCATTTGCTGAGATTTACGTAATAAAATGAATGGTCCTAAACAAACAATTCAGTGGCATTTAGTATTTTCACAGTCGCCAGACATTTGCATCACTCAAAAGGAAAACCCCTTTTCCTATGAAGCAGCTACTTCCTACTTCCCCATTCAGGCCTTGGTGAGCGCCACGCGGCTCTGTTGACTGATCCGATCCGTCTGTCCTGCGTCTGTCAGAGACTCGGGGTCATACAGCACGTGACTGTGGTCCTGGCTTCTCCCGCCTAGTGTGATGGCTCTGGGTTCATTCATGCTGGAGCGTGTCGGTGCTTCTCTGCGTTGAAAGGGCCGCATGGCGTTCCTACGTGTGTGCACACCGCGGTTTGCCAGTCTCTTCCTGTGGGCTGTTTCTGCCTCTCGGCCGCTGCACGGGCTACGGTGGACGCGTGTGAGTGTGCTACACCGAGCTTGCCCTGCTTTCCAGCGTGTCCCTGGGAGTGGGATGACAGGGCTGCTGCTCCACAAGCTCGCCTTGTCCCCAGTTACGCTCACTCCTCCTGTGTCAGGAAAAACAGCGCCTCGTCCCAGAGCTCTGGGGCCGAATGGTGCCTCATCCTTCTGTTCAGACTGACCGTGTCTCATGAAGATGGCAGCAATCAATACGCTCACTTATCTGTAAACTTTCTCCTGGGGCCATTCAGGGAAGCTCTTTGGAGCATGGACTCGACCATTGTCAGTGATGCCCCTTTACAACCAATGTCTCCTCTAAGGAAGGCAAAGGTATTCAACCAGAGTTAAGGAACAGAAAATCACACCATCAAAATCAGGATGGAAGCTTGCACGTTGTAATGCAATTTGCTTGTTTTATCCAAGTCCACAGCGCAAAAGTAGGTATCGGGATCTCCAGGCAAGACGTCCCCTTGTTTCACTGTCAGTAAAGGCAGTTTTTGGAAGGAGTTGGGAGCCATGCAGAGAAAGTTTGCCAACCACTGGGTGTGTTGGGTAACCAATGCTGGGCAGCTGCTTTGGCTTTAACACTGGACAAGCAGTGTGCAGCGTGACACCTGCCACGAACAAAGCAAAGGTGAGGTGAGGCGCCGGGTCCACGGCTCCCAGCCCTGACTTCTCATGGAATCGCCCTGGGCTTTGCCGGGGGAGTGGGGTTCCCTTTGTCTAGGAGTGTGGATGGGGTCTGTGTATTGCAAAAGCTCTCCCTCCTTCTCTCCGTCTTCCAGCTGACTAAGTGCTGCTGGCACTGGCATCACTGGCCTCGGATATTCTGGAAGCTCGCTCAGTGTGTGTGTGTGTGTGTGTGTGTGTGTGTGTCAGAAACAGCTGGTTCACTCGATGCTGACGTTGCATAATGAAAATTGAATTCCATATAACCTTGCTCGGCATATCCTACAAACATGCTTCAAGGGCTTGTGTTATAAATGCACTTTTCATTTGATTTAGGGTAACTGGAACATTCTAGAAATTTGCACTGAAACTGTGGGTCCTAGCCCGGCAGCAACTGTCACATAGAAGTTCATCAGAAATGCAGAACTGGAGGAAATGTGTGGACCTCATGGGAATGGTGTGGTCCACGGACAGACAGCACGGGAGCCTCATGTGCAGGGTTTTGGGGGCACAAGTGGACAGCGTGTGTTCAGTGCACGCTGAGTGGTTCTGTCCTTGGAACTTGTTGCTACGATGGTGCTACGGATGCTACAGAGCGTGACAATGGAGAGCACGGATGGTGTTTCAAAACACGGCTCGGGACTGTGGTCAACCAAAAGCAGGTGCTCATTGTACAAGACCCCGGCAAAGTCCTGGGGTTGGATGAAGCTGCTCCTGACCCAACCTGCACACCGACTGGGCCGTGTTTTGCCCTGCCCCGTCCCTGTTTCCTGCAGATGGTAGCTTTAGAAAATGGACAAGATTGAAAAAAACTTCTCTCTAATTCCTTATCACCCCTCAGAAGAATGGATGCCATTCCAAGCTGGTGAGCACGTCACAGAACAACCCACGGCCTTGTGTTACTCATTGCTACCAGCAGATAAGGAAGGCCTTCAGAGTGTCCCAGATTGAGATAGAGGGCTGGCAAGTGATAAACTTCGAATAAAGCCAGGGAAGTCGCATTTTGCCTTTTCCATATGTGGGCTGTCAACAAACGAGGACGGGCCCAACACAGAGAAGGGCACAGAGAGGGGCCGCTGAAGAGCTTCCTGCCAACTCACAAGGGGCTGAGAGGCCCCGTTCCTGCTGTGTTCATCACCGTCGCAAATAAAAACTGCCAAAAATGACCTCAGGGGGAACCAGCACCCCGGTCACTAAGCATGGGTTCTCAGAATGGCCCACCCCCACTGCAGCGCACCGCACCGAGGGGGGCTGTCGGGAAGACGTTTTCACACGGACAGTTGTTAAACGCCGAAATGAATTATTAATCAAGGTTCTCCGTGAGTCTCTGGAAGTGAGTGGGTTTTAATCTGCGTGGGACTCTTTATTGGGACGCTTTCCCAAGGCCACGGGGGGTCTGTGATGCCTGTGTCAGGTTTTGGAATCCCACTCGTGAGACTGAACTGGCAGGGAGGCTGTGGATAAAACACGGGGGATGGGAGGGGAAGGCGGGGCCAGTGGTGGCTATGAGGGTTGGCACGTGGGAAGAATGATGGACGACAGTGATGGCCCATTTCTCCCTGGAGTGGGACAGTGGCTGTTCCAGACCTTTTCCTCCCTGAGGAGCAGAAGAATGGAGAAGAGAGGGAAAAGGAGAGGAAAAGTGTGTAGGAGGGGCAGAGAAGACGGTGGGAAGGGAGGAATTACTGAGCAGTTGTCAGGTAGAATCGCAGTTGCATTTAGAATCCCTGGGGCACCTGCCCGTGGGCGGCTGTCACACAGGTAAGGAGGCAGGGACCCACAGCAGACAGCCCCACAGGCGAGGTGTGCTGCCTCCAAGATGCGGCCACTCAACCTCACAGTCCGCTTCTCTCCAGAGCTCCCGATGGCCCGCTCCACCCCGATTCCCTCTGTTTCCCAGGATGAAGAGACGAGGACCACCATGTGGCCCCCGGTCCGGTCTCAGGAGGGCTGTGCCCTCCTCTCCCGTCCCCTGCTGCCTGCCTGGCTCTGCCCCTCCCGCACTCCCCCTCACTCCCTCCCGCCTTCCACCTTCCTCTTCTGATCTGCACTGGTTACTTTGCCTTCGCTGACATTCCATCTTCAACCAGCTTTGCCGGGATGTACCTTTTCCCGCAAATGTCCCTAGCAGTCCTTGCCTTGCCTTGCTGGCTGAATTTCTGGAAGGCGTAATTAAACTCCGAGTGTCAGACTTAATCTCCCACCATCTGCTGCCTCCTGCTCCCTTGCTCTCACACCACGAGGAAACTCTTCCCAGAGCTCCGCTAGAGAGCCTGGCCTTGCTGCCCGGTCACCTTGTCCTCTCGTCCACGCTCCACGTAGCAGAACGCCTCCCTGCACTGTTCCCATGGTCTCCCTCCACCTCCCTGACCTCCCTCCAGGCCCTCGCCCTCGGAGGGCTCCCTGCCTCCTTTGCCCGTTCTTCTGCCTTTAATCACCATCTCCAGGCAGCTCCTCGACCAAACGACCAAACGTGACAGTCCTCGTATTTCCTCTCCTCAGCCCCGGCAGGCACGGCCAGCCGACCCCCGATCTTCTCCCACTGCTCCTCTTCCCACTCCCAGCCCTCCAGGCTGAGTCTCACCGTGACCCTCCCCCCTCCCCGCCTTGTCACCAGATCTGCTCTCGCTCTTTTCCGTTCTAGTTCAGATACAGATTTATCTAGTCCAGACTCTCATTTCCCCTGTCTGAGGTTCTGTAACGACATCCTGTCTGGCCCTGGGGGCCTCCGCGTGCAGTCTGCTGGTATCTAGGGTAAACACTTCTCTACCTTCCATGGAAACTGGCAGGGTCGCCCCACCCCCACCCTGTGCAAGCGTCTCACGCAGTTCAGGGCGCTCCTCGTCCCGGAGCCTGGTCCTAGGTGGTGCCGACGCTAGGCAGGCGAATGCGGCTTCGTGAACAAGCAAGCTCGGAAAATGACCGGTTAGGCAGGGTCACACATATTCCTCTCGGCCGGTCTTCACAGAGCGTTCACTGTGCTATTGGACATGGAGACTTTCCCAGGGCGAATACAGAGCTCAAAAATTTCACTTTTATGGCCGTAAGACTTTATTGTGCGTTGGTGAGTGTGTGAATTTATGTCCCCTAGCAAACGTGGGCTACATGTGATCGGAACATTTTTCATTTCTCTTTTTTCCCTTTGCATTCTTAATTTCTGTCCCAAATCACAGGGACTCCTGAAAACCAAAATGCTGTTTTTTCATAAAGTCGTCATTATCCACAAGAGTGTTTCAGGTTGTGAATAATGGAAAACATAACTCCTCCGCCAAGAACAGAAAACCAGGAATTAATTGATTTAAATCAAGGGTCAGCAGACCGTAGCCCCAGGACGGTTCTGATCCAGTGCGGTTTCGGAAAGCCCGGGACTTGATGGTTTTCACACTTCGAGTGGTAGAAACAAGCAACCGCAACACTCCATGACTTGTGCGGATTGGAGGGAAGTCGTATTTCAGTGCTTGTAAGTGAAGTTTCACTGAACACGGCCACGTGTGTTGTTTTCCTGTGGTTGCTCTCCCAGCACAGATGAATAGTTGCAACTGACGTTGGCAAAAATGCTTAGGAACAGACCCTCCGTAGAGTTTCCCGAGGCTTCTCCCTCTCTTCCTTCAGAATCCTCCACATTCCTGAGACAACGGCCACCAGCCTGGAGCCACCCCGCCTTGGCCCCCAGCCAGCAGCAGGCAATGCGTCTGTCCCAGCCTTGCCAGCAAATGCTGGGTTTCTCTGCATGGTCAAGCCTAGGCAGGGGCCTCCCTTGATCCCCAGCACATCTGTGCCTTGTCCATGAGGTCAGGCAGCATGGCCTGGCCCGGTCATGCGCTCTGAGCTGGGTCCCAGGAGCCAGAACATCTCCCAGAGCTCATGGGCTCGCCGACGGATGCCCAGGCAAGAAAGACATAGGT